ATAATTCATGCATTGTTCGTAATCTTCCAGTTGAAAGGGTTCTACTCAATTGATAGTTATTTCATTCTTCAATAGTTCCATATCACAATTTTCTGCCAGGTCTGTGCAGGCTTAACTTGTAACTTGTAGTTTTTTTACCTCGTGACGTTCATTGATGGCGGCAAATTCAAATTTGATCTGTGCAAAACTTACGAATTTCACTCTCTTACCTATGAGATGGCCTGTTTTAATGCAAAAGTTTTTTGACTGATTCCTTTTGTTTGCATTTCTGCCGAGTTAAGAGCAGGAATTTAGACTTACTGTGGTTTTTAGATACTTTCATTCCTTTGGAGGTAGTAGGTACTACAGTGATGGTCACTTTGTTTACTTGATGACCATACTTTAATATTTTTTTTAAAAAAGCAGAACATATATCTGCAGGATTTAAGTAGTTTAAGTAATTCTTTATTGTATTGGCAATCATGTTTTAAAGTTTCACTGCTGAAGATTAAAACTAAGACATGAAATGGTAAATTTGTTTGGACCATGTCATATTTTTTAATTCGACAGCCATTTTGTCTGGATTTTCAGGGGTGGTCTGGGCTGAGGGCTTTGGACCTTAAAGGGTTAAATTATATTTGTTTTGATTCACATGGCTTACAGTTACCTTGGGAATGTAACACTTTCCCTGAGATGCTGTAAAAAGTGTTACAAAGTTCCGAAAGAACTGGCAATGTAGGTTTAAGCCAGAACCATTTACTTAATATATCAAATTTCAATAGGCAGAAGATATTACTGTCAATAACTTGACACCTGAAACACGAAAGCTATTTAAATATTTACGCTAACTTCCTAAAGAACACGTTTACTACACCATCGTAAGTGCCGTACACATACGCTAACCTACACTCTAACTTGTACATTTTTGGGAGAGATCTTCAGTGAAATCATTAATATGGCAGTAATGCAAGACATCAAATGGAAAGCAACAATAAAATTCGAACAATGTGTTAATTTCAAGTCTTGGTGTAACGTATATGTATATGGGAAATACACAACCAAAAGCTCAAAAGACCCATGCGGCATATCGAAGTCTAATTGGGCTCGTTTTCTTTTGTTTTTGTTTTTTTTTTGCTATAGGCTTTATTTAAAATAACTCCCTTTACCTTAACTCAAAATCATTTCAATTCATTATCTAAGCGATTTCCAGTAAAATTGTCCAAAAATGAAAAGGATCCTCGCTCACCTCCAAAACTCGCCCCTCCACCAGTGCCGTTCACAGAGGAAGATCTACATTCCTTGGCAAAATGTCCCAGTTTTCCACACTTGTAGCATTTTGACTTCGATCCCATCGCTAGTAAAATAAGTCAAACCATATCTACATTTAAAAAAACTTATGAGACCAGATGTGATTTCACAGTTTAGTTCGATTATCGTTTGAATCCAATCAAGTACAACGAAACGTATGTTAACACTCTCCAAAATATCGGAGTAGCACAATCCTTTTTTAAACCGCGCAAAGAAACCCACTTTCTTTCAAGTATGACCACATTTACTCGCTAATGAATAGAGGTCAAATTTAAGGAGGAACATTAAAAGGAAAGCGAAACCTACCAAAACTCAAGGAAAATGAACCGTTTCTGTCTCAAGGTGCTGTAAAACTTTCCACGTGTTTCAAATCGTACTACAGAGCTCGAAAACCTTCCTGGGTAAACGGTTCTCTCGCAGGTCGCTCGTGGGCGCATGACTTGCAATGACAGCTGGATAGAGATGAGGTAGCTGGCTCAAACTTGTAGCATCATCTGTTTCATTTTGACGAACTATCATGGCTGAGTATCGGAAATGGACAATTCACCACTTGATAGTATTTTTACTCACATTTTTCAGGTACCAGAACTTGTTGTATTCTTAATTATCCGACGCATAGATATGAAGAAATGGCGATAGACCTGAAGTATTCTCTTTTCTGAACAGAGCTAACAAACGATCACTGGCTAGCTCTGATTTGAACTCACGTGATGTTCACGACCTCCAAATTTATGTCGCCTCAGCGTTGCCTTATAAATTTGAATACTCTATTCAGTTACTTCTAAACTGTTAGCTGGCCATTGTTATTACAGTCAGTTTGTTGATTGTTTTATGTGGTGACGAATAAGTCGTGAGAGTCCTTTCGGTTAGTCACTGTCTCCAAGTGCAAAAATATGTAAACAACAGTCCTTTTCAGAACTACAGCACTATCATCGTAAAATCAGAATACATGATCGATGGTTATTCCTGGATTCAAACTATTTACCATATTCAAGCTTCGTATTACTATCTTTGTTTTCACAACCATTTTAATTTTCATCTCTAAACTATATATATTTTCCCTCTATCTTTCCTCGAGGCTATAGCCTGGCATGCTAATGCTTATTTGCATTTCTTGAATTCGAATTTGATAATCAATCAATTTGACGGTTTTTTGATTCAAGCCTACCTACATACATATATATATGGCACACTACACTTCTTCTCAATTTTTTCTTGTGAGCTATTTGTAAAATGAGAAAGTTAACTCGTGTATTTTTACTTTTGCTCGGCACTAGTGAAAATTAGAATCGTGACTTGAAAGGGAAAGATTTCCATATAACCTGTTAGCCTTCTCAATCAAAGACTTATTCCCAAAAGCAATGCATTGTTATTGCTATTGTTGTTTGTTTTTCAAAGAACTGTATGCACTATTTCATAATAATAATAATAATAATAAATTATGATGATGATAACACCTTTATTTAGACACGATATTGTTTAAAGCTGAACAGCTTGTGGGGTCGTGTGTAAATCCAAATAAACTCTAAATTAAATAAATTCAAATGATGATGGTTTTTGAGGAGAGGGGATTAAACTGGAGTACCCGGAGAAAAACCTCTCGGAGCAGAGTAGAAAACCAACAAACTCGATCCACTCATGATGCCGGGTCCGGAAATCAAACCCGGGACACATTGGTGGAAGGCGAGCGCTCTCACCACTACACCAACCCTCCTCCCCCTTCTGAGGAAAGGATTCTATGAAAATCTTGCCTGTTAAATTTTAAGCTTTCTCACTTGAGCATAATGATGTGAATTCATATGATGCACGATCTTCGCAGTAGAGAGCGCTATTTACGAGGTCAGTGGTTCGAATCCTGTACAGGCCTGACTTTTTTTTCAGGTCTGATTTTCACTATTGCATAAATAGCGCTGTCCACTGCGAAGATCGTGCATCATACGTATCTAATACCGCAGTTCAAAATATATGAACTTCATATAAACATTGTATATGATGGGAATTGTTATCTTTATAGCTATTCCTGTTTCCATGCCACGAGGAAAGCTTTCAGTAATATAAAAGACTCAATGCAGAAAGAATGGACAAACAACTCTGTCACATTAGACCCTCCTAAGGTGAGTAATAATGGTTTCTTTTGTTGTGATTACCTGACAATGGTTGTAATACTCAAATCAATTCAAAGCTTCTAGACATTCCTTGCTTTTTTGGTCCTTAAACTACCAAAACTTGTGGCTAGAATGATGTTGGTTTCTGTTAAGGTTTGTTAATCAGTTGTGTAGAGATGAGTTGATTGGAGCTCAAGAAGTGAATTGTATATGTACAGGCATACTAAATATACTTCTGAATCATTTTTCTTGCTATTTGCTAAGTGGACAATAGATCTGTTTTGCTATGGATTTCATTGACAAGTTATCATCAGTTTAGACATTCTCCTTAATTAACCATCTTCGAAGTGTAGTTATTTTGAGAGCAGTCCTATTTTTCTGCATTTTGTTTTGGACTTTATTTTTGTATCACAGCTTAGTTATGATATGATGCTTCAGCAAATCTCACATGTCACTTTGTTTAATTATAAGTATACCACTGGTTTAAAAAACTGCAGATATTTCAGTTACCGTATTTATTCACTTATAAGGTGCACCATTTTTTACGAGAAAATATGCTTGTTTGATCAAAATCTGCTCAAAACTTGGGGTGCGTCCTATAAACGAGTATTTTCATGCAACAAGTATAACTTTTTCAGATTTCCCCAATAAACTGAAATGAGTATGTAAATAAATACTGGTAAATGAATAAACAAAAGACAAACAACGTGGATCGTTGACTTTATCTGAATTTTTTGGTTCTAAAAAGAACCGGGGTGACTCTGAAAAGAAACATTTGTTTGAAAGCTCAGCTGAGCTCAGCTACTCGTTGTCTTTGGCTTCGCTGTCTGTCTTGAACTCATTGTCAATCTGCTCTTCTGTGTATTCTGTTTCTTCTTCCTTGTCATCCCAAACCGCATCATCTTCAGTTCCATCGAGAGCATTGCTGATGCCACAGGACTTGAACAATCTCGTTAGTGCTTGGCATAATTACTGAAAATTTACGGTATGCTGAAGGAATGCTTGAAGATTAAGATGAGTTTTGCAACTGATGAATGAAAGATCTGTCAAATGAGTATTGTTTATAAACGTAAAAACAGATCAATTAATATTCATAACTTAAAACACTGTCTCCTGAGAAGGATGACTTGAGTGAATTAAAAAGTGTGACTTTTATGCTATTTTCCATGTGTGACTTTTTTGCTGTTATTTGTAATGTGTGACTTTCTCGCTTTTGTTTTGAGAATGAGAGCACTGTAATTAGTAACTTTTGGAAGCAAATTGTTGTAAGTACAGTAAACATGGTCGACAAAATTTCCTGTAATTCTGGGTGCGCGTTATAACAGGGTATTTATGTGAAATTTTCATTTTGCTTACTTGTCACAATCGTCTTCGAAAGATTAGGGTGCATCTTGTAACCGAGTGCGCCATATAAGTGAATAAATACGGTAAGTTTAGATTGATCCTCATTGCTAACTTGTCTAATGTGACTTCTTGATTTTCTGTATTAGTTATGGGAAGACAGACACTTTTTCAAAGATAAGGTTGGTAATTAAAAAAAGTTTATACATGTATCTTTTGATTGATCTAAGGCTCTCTGCCTAACCCTTTTACCCTTAACAGGGACTAGCATCTCATTTCTCTTAACAGTATCACCCCTGAATCACACACTGTGGTAATAAGATTAAAGGAAATGATCACCAACTAGAGAAGCTCCTGATTGTTAAACAAATTCTCCTTGTCAGCACGTTAGGAAATGAATAGAGAACACTGGATGGAGAATAATTATACCTAGTGATGTTAGGGTATAAAGTGTTTTGGTAGTATACATTTTTCTTACAAGGGTACCATACTCTTAGTAATAACTCTTCCATGTTTGAAGTTTTTGGATCAATAACAGAGTATCAGTCCCAACTCCCATTAGTGATCAAAATGTAACTTCTCTCTATAATGTCTATACATTTAATCCAGCAAACAGGTTATCTTGATCTTACACAAAATTCTGGTGGCAAATTTACAAGGAAATGTGAAGCACCTTGAGGAGAGAATTAACAATCAAATCATGATATTTAAAGGGTTAAAATACCTACTTTTGGGTTGTTTACACAGCATTCAGCCGAAATCTTCCTTGGTGCAATGGATACAACATTCCTGCTAGCATATGCTGTGGTAAGCTTGCATTACTTCATCTTTTCATAGGAAAGTTTGATTCGAGTATTCATGCTTGTACTCAATGAATTTAAGAGTCCAGATAATTATGTGCTCAGTGTGGGGTATAGAGGTGTTAATTGGAAGATGTATTATAATAATATAAAGATGTATTGTAACATAGCTAACAAGGTGGTGTGAAAGTAAGAGAACAATGTTATGTTATGTAAATTTATGTACATGTATTTACTAAGGCGTTAACTTAAAGGTTTTTGGTGTATTGTTGGATATGTAACAGTTGTGAATAAAACTATTTTTTAATGAACTGGGAGTACTAGTACTACACAGGGTGTTCTTTGGAGTTTTTATGATTTAATATGCATTTCTGTCCTTTTTTTTGTTGTTTTGGTCTGTAAAGTGAATTTCATATTAATTTTATTACTTTGAAATTGTCACTGTCTTCTGAATTAGTGTTTAAAAATTTCATTCTGAGTTTGCTCTTAGAATCATTTTTGTTGAATTCCAATCTGTCATCAACTTTTTAATAGTGTAATTACTATCTATCGGTTAGAATGTGTGCCATGATTAGTCAGGTGAGCTTGCTTTATGTCACAGTATAGCCTGCTAAATTAAAAAATTTTATTTGAATTGGAAACTTCTCAGAACCCAGAGATAAAATAAATATCTTACTAACCTCATTTTTTTGGTTCATACTGTACATTACTGACCTATTATTTTCTGTTATAAATGCCAATGGCATGAACTTAGTCCATAACTTACAGTTCAAACCTTGAACTCAGTTAGTAAGATGTATTAGTTACATGCCCCTTGCCCAAGTTTCCTGACATATTTATTCCTTCTGCCTTTGTTCTTTAGGGTTTGTACATCAGTGGTATTTTGGGCGACAGGTTTGTCTCTCCCTTTTTTTTTTTTTTAAATCATCAATATAGACAGTCTATGTTGTAAAAGCATGAAATACTCACAAGTACCTAGCACTTGACCATTGTTTAAAGGACATGCCCCCTTGCAGGTTGTCATTTTCCTTATTAGAAAGTGACATAAAGCTTGCCAAAACACAGTAACTAATTGTTTTCAGAAGAAACGCTTAGTCAAGGTTATGAAGCCACTCTCCTCAGAAGGAAAGTGAGAGCTGGCTTATCAGATCACTACAAGTATTTTCATTAAAAATACATTGTCATGCAGATTAATACTGTTTATTTTCTCACTAGAAGTAACTTGTCTCTAGAAAAGAACCACCACCTCATAGAAGGTCCACTGTTAAATTCCCTTTATTATAAATATCATTATTATTAAATTACCATTATCATTATTATTATTATTATTATTATATTGTACCCCCAGCCGTACAATTCAGGTATATCAGGAATTTAAAAAAATCTATTGAAGTCTTTAATTATAGTTCTTGCCAATAGAGGAACATTGCCCATTATTTTCAGCTACTGTCCTTGTGAGGGAATTGATAGAAATTTTGTCTGAACTCTCAGATAAACTGGTAGTAGAAACCTTGGAATTATGTTCACTTTTAAATTATCAGGTTCAACCTGAGAAAAGTATTGGCATTAGGAATGTGTTCATCTGCAATTATGGTGAGTAATTTTTTAAAACAAAGTGCATATTCTTTAATGTGAGAATTTACATTTAGTAACCCAGGTGCGCAGATTAATTTCCTTGAGATGCTGCAGCAGTTTCTCTAAATCATGGTGAAAAAAATGCTTGAAAATCACAACTCTTAACCATTTAACTGCTGAGACTGACTTCTCATTTCCTGCTTGCTATATCACCCTGAAACTGAAGTTTTACACGATTAAAACAAACTTCTGCTTCTTTTTATTCTGCTCGCATCCAAATAAAATGTTACAACAACAGAGAGAGAAAACACAATACACTGGTATATATATGCTAATTCCTAAAAAGGAAAGTTTGAATAACAAAAGGAAAAGAAACACCTGGACCAATCATAGCTAGGTCAAATTAACTATTCCTGTGAAATATTTCAAATTTAAAATAACAAGGGCAAAACATAATATGCATAATGACAACAGAATCACACACTGAAGTCACAAGAATAAAGGAAATGATCACCAACTAGAGAAGCTCCTGATTGTTAATAAACAAATTCTCCTTGTCAGCTCCTCAGGAAACGTATAGAGAACAGTATGGAGAATATGCTATTACTGATTTTAAGATGTAGAGGTGTAAAGGGAGTTATATAGGTGTTCATGTTGATGATATTTTGATATAATTATAGCAAACAAGATATCATCACCCAAGTTAGTCAAGATTGCAACATGACTTAAAATAGTATTTTATTATTTTGTATTTTTTATTTCTCCACTCCAAATTGTAGTAAGTTAAGTTATATGATAAACAAGGTAAGAACTACAGAGCAATTCTAATTCTATACATTCAAATATAAGAGAGAAGTGGATAGGGGTACATCCGCACAATTTTATGATAGGTAACCTCCTCAAGGACATGATTTTCTTGCAGAATGTTGCAGTTTCTCCAGATAGCATAATTGTTTTCTTATTGCTCTGATCAGAAACTAATGATGTAACTCAGAGACTGTGCTAAAGAAAAAAGAAAAAAGAAAAAAGAAATGGTTGCATCCTAAGTAAAATATAGACCACATTTTTTTCAGGTGTTCATGTTTGGAACTGTAAGTAAGTGGATTGGCGTTTACAACATTTGGTATTATGGGATATTCATGGCCCTTAATGGTAAGTGTTGATCATCCACTTTTAAATTGCTACAATTTCTTGATTTCTTGTTTGTGGCTCAACTAGGAACAGCTCATTAAACTGCAAGATTAAAATACATTGTCTTGTTGTAAATGCACGTCACCACAATTCTTGTAGTCATATTGTAGATACATTGTTAGTGAACTATCAATGTATCACCTTTGTTTGAACTATTTCTCTCTCTAATAGTTATGGATCTTTGTCTAATTTTGCAGGTTTGTTCCAATCCACGGGCTGGCCATGTGTTGTTGCAGTCATGGGAAATTGGTTTGGAAAGTCAAGGTAATCAATTGAACAACAAATCATAAGAATTTTGTTCCTTGAAATTTAAGTAACAATAAAGAATTCAATTTGTCATTGTATTCATTTCATGTGTCATGTACATCTTTAATTGATTTTTTGAGGGTTAAAGACAATCATGTTCTGTTTTTTGCTGTAGCCGTGGAATTGTCTTTGGAATATGGAGTGCTAATGCCTCTGTAGGAAACATAATTGGAGCTCTTCAAGTGAGTCTCACGTACCATTGGTTCCATGTCATGTTTGCATTTGTTCTAGGTAGCATTAGTGATCTCTTTAGTTTTGGATTTACTACCTTCTATCAAAACATCTGTACTTAAGCCTAATGGCTATGAAGGGACTAGGATTGTCATTACTCCCCCCTGAATGGGAAGCTAGTCCATAGCTAGCTTACCCCACACATTTCAGCAGGCTTCCCTGGCAAGTCACCTGGATGAAGAGTGGCATGTTTTGGTCAAGAATACAACACATAGTGCCTGCCATGCCATTGACCCAGACCCCCTCAGTGCGGTGTCCAGTGCACTAACCATTCAGCCACAACCTTAACCTGCAATCAAGGAGGACTCTAAACTAACTTTTTGATGATAAATCTGCACTTCAAATTTGAAGATAAATCAGTTTCTATCTTTGCATGTGGTGAAATTTATCACACCCTAGGCTCTGTTGCAGACTCTCAGACGAAGTGATAATCTATTATAATAGTATGTTGAAATCTCGCACTTGACAAAACAGAAAGACACACATAAGTTCAGCCCCCAGTATAAACTTAAATAAAATTAATTAATTAGTGTTTTTTAAATTATTTTTTTAATTAGGTGGCAGCTGTACTGGATTATGGATATGAGGTTGGTGGCATGTGGATCTTGAACATTTTGTGTTGTGTTCTATGAGGGATTATATACTTATTGACCGAGTGGGAGGGGCAGACTGGAGAAAATATGGTTCAAGGTCATGAAGTTCAGACCAAGTGCAGTATTTATACTAACAAACTGTTTAAAATCAACCTTAACATTCAGGAAAAATCATTCTGTATAATTTTAAAATATTTATTTCTGTTAATTTGTCTATTTATTTGTTTTTTTTTTTTTTTCATTGCAGTATGCTATGCTTGTACCAGCTGTTGTATTATTTGCATTTGGTATTTTGATATATTTCTGCTTAATACCATCCCCAGATGAAATTGGTAAGTACAAACTGCCATACACCGTTTTGAATCATATAACAGTCAATATTATCTTCTGAAGTAATTAATAGAATGTCAGTTCTAAATCCAAATAAGGTCATGAGAATGTGCAAAATATAATGCCAGGGTATTACACTGTAGGACAGACTGAATAATAATATAATGGCAGGGTATTACACTGTAGGACAGACTGAATAATAACATAATGCCAGGGTATTACACTGTAGGACAGACTGAATAATAACATAATGCCAGGGTATTACACTGTAGGACAGACTGAATAATAACATAATGCCAGGGTATTACACTGTAGGACAGACTGAATAATAACATAATGCCAGGGTATTACACTGTAGGACAGACTGAATAATAACATAATGCCAGGGTATTACACTGTAGGACAGACTGAATAATAACATAATGCCAGGGTATTACACTGTAGGACAGACTGA